CTTCTAGTTGGATCGACCTTCGAATCTCTTCATGACACACTAACTCAAAGTGGAAGTAGGCTCAGTAGTTCCTCTATAAAATGTGATAAAAAGTAGGTAAATTATAACTGCGGGTGAGAATACCTTTCAAGAGGCAAGGCTAAATGGAATTCAATGGCAACGTGATGTTAATTCATAGTATTGTGGAAAAATGCAAGTAATTCCTTCATCAACTCATATGACATATAGTGACGATAATTATGGTTGAAGATCTACCGATAGTCCCGAAACCTACTAAGTGCAAATAGCTACTCAATTTAGTTACTTCTTCATTCTATAATAATAGCAGCTTACAACCCTTTGTAGCCTTATAGAAAACTTAGTTAATTGATTCAGACTATTCATTAGATCATGAAATTCTTTATTGTGCTTTATTGTGCTGCCGAACCACGAAGTAGTCGTCCATATTCCAAATTAATAATTGATGAACTCGAAAATGTTATTAAATAAAACGAATCTGAAATTGAGCAATGCAGTTTTTAGCTAAAGTTGGGGCTAAACTCGATTCGAAAGCTAAGTCTTGTTATTGTCCATACAATTTATTAATAAGGGTAAAATATGTACCATCCAATCTAATGAATAATCGTCGCCCAACCTTCCAACCATTATAATCTTAGGATGCTGATTCATTGTTAACTCTACAGCATGTGTAGCCCTACTTACAGAAATATTAGTGTACACATATATTACGCTAAAACTGTTTGCCGGCTATTAATCTACTAGCCGCAAGAAATCCTATTTGTTAAGCATCAAATTTCAGAGGTAAATTTCCTATGAAATTTAAAGTCAAGTCGCATTAAATAAATAAAGGGTTTTTAAGACCAGTTATTTTTCTTATATTTGTGTTTATTTCGTTTCCATAGTTACATTAGATTCACGGGCTTTTCAAAAGTAAATAATATAAAAACAAAATAATTGAATCGATTGGGCATCGCGCATTTCTGGCATTCAAACCTAGGTTTCCCCAACCAATATTATAACTCGGCGCATTCACGGTCTGATAACTACCAGCTTCATTAAAGAAAAGAGAATATTTGAAATTCCAACTTTACTTTGCTAGCGTATTCCCTAATGATAGGTTGTGATTGCCCTTTTCGCATGCTTTATTCTCCTAGTAAGCAGTATTTTTGAAAATAAGCAAATGCATAGGGCTCACCTGGATGAATATTTCTCGTGGCCACTAGATTCCAGCCAGCCTCATCTCCGGCATACTGTAACCGAACAGCCGGTTGGCTGGTTTCTGGGAGCAAGGTGGCCAAAAGCAGAGGCGAAGAATCGGTCAAGTTAGACATATCGTACTCGAAAGTCGAATCTACCAGGTTTGCGCGTTGTCTGCTGCATAGGAGACGGTCACTTATATTGGCAGTGTTAAAGTTTCCATTGCCATCCTTCTTGCAATTGTCACTAGCAGATTGGCTAGTCAAAGTAAGACTGTCTTTTAGACGAACAGCTAACTCCGAGCATCTCGGGTCGACGCTCAGGCGAAATTGTTCCAGCTCGTTATCTGACTTTAGACATTTATCTAGGCGTGGTGGCTCAGGTATGCTGATCCTGACGGAGAGGAAAGGTCGGCCGGCAATTTGTGGATTGGGGCCAGCGGCTTTCAGCTTCTTATAGTCCATAAAGTCAGATGCATTTGCTTTGGAGGTAGAAAGTGGCTGGGAGATGGCTTTACCCAAAAGCATGTTAGATTTGGCCTCGTCTATGTGGCCCAGACGTAGTTGGACTTGTGCAAGACGAAAGAAGAGACGAGGACGGCGGTCAAGAGGAAAGTCATGCTAAAACACCATATGCATAAATGGTAGGCATGGGTGGGAATTATTAATAAAAACTGGGTTTCAAAGAATTCCTTAGTGACATATTGTGATATTACTTTCCATTTCGAAAGAAAAGTTGGGTCTGGAACATGTGATGTGGTCTCACCGGGAACCGGAGAAGGAAGACTGCTGAATTGTGCGAAGAAGTCCTCAGCTCACCGTCTTGCGACTGTGCTAAGCTTTCGTCTGTACTATCAGACATCATCAGAGAAGGTATCCATACTTCACGAAATAGAGAAAAAATATAAGAACCAAGAGAAAAAGTGGCCGACCCCATCACCTTTTTATGCACCTAACTTCGCGATCTTAATTTGGCATCTCATGATTTGGTTGGCTACTTCAAACTTACTTTAATTGCTTGCAAATGAGTTAAGTTAATTCACGAACCGAAAGTTGACTAGTTTATTTGTGTAAGGAAAGAGCTGCAACCGAACGCACTTTCGGTTCTGGAAGTAACTTCATTCATTTGAAAGGATGTAAAGTACGTTTGAAGTAGCCAACCAGATCGTGGGATGCCTAATTAAGACCTAAAAGTCAGGCGTATAAAAGAGCAACTAGGCCGATCACCTCTTCTCTTGGTTTGAAATATTTTCGCTCTATTTTATGAAGTATGGTTACCTGCTCTGATGATGTCTGACACAGTACAGACAATAGCTTAGCACAGTTCCATCGGGGTCGCAAGACGGTGAGCCGAAGACCTCTTCGCACAATTAAGCAGTCTTCCTTATGCGGCAATCCTCCTTCGGTTTCCGGTGAAATCACATCACGTGTTTCTTCCAACCA